CACAAAATTCCAGGCAGGCTGCATAAACCTCTACATGTTTAATCATAGAAAATGAAAGTTTTCATCTGGATCAGTGTCAAAGTACATGTAGTGACAGACAATCAAAACTCTTCTTCCTCTCACAAACACGAGAACTGTGAAATGAACACAGAGCTAACAGTCATAGAGAGCTGATGTTGTGGAGCAAATTCCAGTCCAGGTGACATAAACATGTCTTCAATGTATCTTTATGAAAGCTGTGGTTAACTATCAAAAAGTGGTTGTACTGAACATCCTTGAGTCGAGACAGTAAGCAACAGGGAAGTGTCTGTAAAGACCCATCTAGAGCTGCAAGGTCTGCATGCAAGAGCAGGTCAACAAGAGCAAACATGGCTCATGTATAAGCCCAGTTTAGCAACTGTCGGAGCCATTTGTCAACCAGGAGCTTAAGAAGCTGACACAGCTGGAAGCCACAGAGATACACTTCATATGTGATAGGTTCACGTATAAACAACTGGCTTCAGGCTTATTTTGTACATGCCTGAGACTCATGAACACAGCTTATACAAATGCACTTTCTATATATGTCTGTCCTTGGCCTTTTTTTTTTATTTGGCACTGGAAAAACTTATTTTATCTCTTGTCTGAAAACAACTTCAGTTACCATTGCTCTAGGCCTAAATAATGGCAACATAGGATGTCCTTTTCTCTTAAAAGCAGGGGGAGGAGAGGGGCAAGAGAAGAAAATAAGAACAGTTCACTTCAAATACCTGTCTGAGAACAGAGCCACAGTGCTATGTAGCCCAGGACATACTTGACAGTAGTTGGATTGTGCAGCTTCGACTTATGAGCAATGGAAAATTGGTATCCCATCACAATTGCCCATCGTATATTACCAGAGCCCAAATTGATGCCAGAAATACTGGCTTCATGGCAATACTTGTTAGAATCAAATGACTTACATTGACATGACATTTTGTACAGACATTCATGGTCCCCAGAGGATGAATACTAATGACTTATAGCCAATCCTTAAAGGAGTCGCTTTTGGAAGCATTTTAGACGTCCCCACATGCAACATGAACAATTACGCACCTATTTTAATCAATTTGTCAATCCATAGTAACCCCGGTGTTTTAATGCTTCAAGTCTATTTTAATCGCGTTTAGTGAGGCGTTATCTGCACAGATCTATTTGAATCACACAAATTTGCCAAGTAAGTTACTCCCACTGGTTGGCTGGGATTTCAAGTTTCATTGAGTTGGAAACTGTCTGTAAAATCCTTTCTCCTACAGAATGATGCTTTCACACAGCTGAGCTACATTCTCAATTACGTTTCAAGCAGTGTTCATTTTGCATCTATTTTAGATTCAGTCTAAGTCTTCGTCTTTTGACAAGAATGCTTCCTAGTTTTAGTCCAGTTTTAGTCAGCAAAACATTTTGGTCAACTTTTAGTCATTACTCTTAGTCAACATGGTTTATCTCTTAATTTGGTCAAGTATTTCTTTAGTCCTGTCCCTTTTTAAAAGTCCCTTGTAAAGTGTTTTATGCTCATGATGTAGCTGTTTAGAAGCTGAATCTGTAGTTATTCAGGTCTACATGTTGTGGTGTGTATCAGTATACTGACAAGCTGTCAGCCTGTCTCTGAGAAGAATGAGAATGAAGTTAGAGAGAATAAATCAAAATGTCAACAAGGTTTGCTCTCAGAAATGTCAGCAAAGTCTGAAGAATGGAGGGAAAGAGACAAAGAGTAAGTAGTTTCCTGAAGATCAAGACGGATGAGAAGGGGAAGATGAAATGAAGGTAGAAATAAGAAGAGGATCTGGTCACGTTAGCATCCCCTTGTAGAAACAACACCAGAAAACAAAACTGTTGAATGGATTAAAAATGGAGCGGCAACTTTGCTTTTCTTTTATACTACTTATAACATGTCGGCATGCCCTCTGACCCTCTATGAGGAAGAAGTATTTCCCCACAGGGATGAATACCATTATTATATTTGCTGGTGCTGCTTTCCTTTAGGTTTAAGATCAGATAGCGATTTACAGCCATTTTTATAAAACACATAAACTTCACTGCCTTGCAAGTTATTACTGTTCCTGTCCTTTCACACAGCCTTTTACTGTGCTTTTGATCAATGGCTGGAACGTGGCAGTAATGGAGTGGAGGCTACGGCTTCCATTTTTACTGGGAACACCCACACACTATAAAGCATCCACCAATTGGAATAATAGATCAACTTTTTCTTTCAACAGTCCCTATTCCTATTTGTTTGATCTAGCTCCCGCCAGTATTTATGCAGTCTATTCTGCGGTGTGTGTAGGTACGTCCTGTTATCTTACCGGTGCAAACACAGTTCAAGGATTTAACTCAAAACACGATACTACATTTATGTTTCTTTTATAGCCAGAGCCACTACATCATAAGTATAAGAAGTTGCTTGTGTCTTTGGTGGGGGGGAAAATAAGACAAAAATACCATTTAATTTATTGATTAATTAGTTGATTAAAGGTGCTAAATTCAGAGCATTCCAAATTTCGAGCATTAATATCGTCGCAGCAAACAAATATATAAGATATAGTAATGGCATCCTGAGCAGAGAATCACTTTCTGTCTGTGTGTGTTGTAATCCAAGTTTCTCCGTGCTTTGTTTACGTAGCTGGTCCAACAGTGTGTGCACACCCGCTGCTAACGCCATCGCGACCAACAGCATCCTAGCAGACGCATAACAGCCACCCTGTGGTTTTCACTTACAGTATGAACTCTGTTGGCTGTGTCAGCACTATTAACATTGTTTACACATTTACCGCTGTTAGCACGATCAACTGCTAGCACGATCAACTGCTGGCATGATTAATGGCTCGCTGCCGGCTCAGCTGTCGCCATGTTAAGAGCCTTGTGGAGGTAATCCCTCATTAATAGATATGCTCTGAATTTACTTGAAAATATGGAAACCATCACAGCTAATTGTAGATATGGTAAGATTATGGTTTTAAAGCATCGCTTCAAGTGGGACAATGATTTATTGGAAGTTGTGCTCATGAGAGGATTGTACAATTAATTTAAGACACACTTCTTAGTGCAGGATAATTATTATAATCACAGTAACTAGAAGACGCACATAGAGTGGTTGAAGAGTTCTCAACACCCTGCTACACTTAAAAGCCTCATTGCTTATTGTTTTTTGGTAATTGATTTCTTGGCCTTGCAAACAACCTCAGGAAAAAAAAAAAACGTTTCTTTTACCTGCGCTCACTTCAGAGGTGAAACACGAAATGTGTCTAGCGGCGGATATCTCAGAACCAGAACATGTCTAAAATGTAATATATAGTTGTTTGGACCATTTTTTTTTTCTTTGACGAGTGGATTGTCAGAAAATAAGTATGTACGTGAGATGTTTTTTTCTTTGTCTCATTACACGTGGCTCACTAAGGAAGACAGTATTAATTTGCTGTGGAGGCAGTTCAATGCTTTAATGCTTATAAGTTCCAAATGGCAGATTTTCAAGTTTTACAAAATTGTATGCAGCCATGAAAGTTTAATACTTAAATTTGAACAATGTAAAATGTTACCAATGTGAAACATTTTCACATGAAAAAAAATCAATGTAAGATTGTTAAAGTCATGAAATGATAACCCAAGATGACTGGTATTTCAAATCTGTAAACTGCCCTGTATTGTAAGTGAGAATTGATTAAAAGAAAATTCTGTTTATAACCTTGCTAGCAGCATCGCTCTAGGAATGGCATTGTCTGTTTGTCGATGGATTGCCATCAAATTTGTTACATACATTCATGCCCTTCTTGGGATTAACTGTAATCACTTTGGTGAAACCTCAACTATTTATCTAGCACCATCATCTGGTTCAAATTGTCCAAAACTAGTTAGAGTGAGCATATGTGTATTTTTCAAGTTCATCATATCCCAAAGAGCTAATGAGCTAATGAGCTAATCACTGCCCCCCTTGGATCTGCAGGAAATCTGTTCTTATTATCTGGAGGTGAAAAGGCTTACTGTTTATTTTTTAGCTTTCGCACACTGCTGTTCAAGAGTCAACTTTATATTTTCTCTTTAATTTGTGATCCTCTGCTTCCTGCATGATAAGAGGATTACCTTACAGTGTCCAAACCCAACAGCTGAGTTTAATTTGGGTAAACAAGGTGAATTTATTCAGTCTTATCAGGAGGACTGGGATGCTGTTCTGCGTTATGATTTAGGCTGAAAGCACAGATGTGTTTTGTACAGATGTTGTATAATGTATTCTCCCATCATTATTTGAATTGATGATGATGATGATGATGATGATGAGTAAACCGATTAAACTATGTGAAAACTGACTCTCCTATCATAGTTAATTCATCCTGCCACATGTTTGCTTCTACGTATGTACCTATATAATCATAGCCTACTATAGATGCAAATTAGTTTTTATTCTCTGTAATTATGCTTGCCTGTCTTCTATTATTAGTATCACTGCCTAATCTACATTAGTAATTAGCATTTTTAATGAACAATTATTATTCAGACATCATCCACATTGTTCCCTGTAATAAACACAGTAGGCTTTATCCTGGTTTAATTGCAGTGTGTGAAAAAAAGGTTTATTTTTATCAGTCACATTCGAAAACAGATATCAATTTCCTCTGCATCAATACTTTGTCTAGCTTAGCACACAGACAAGAAGTATAGGGACCAGATTTGTTACAGCTGTTTTGATAACTATCAAGCTAGTCACCAGGAGTCACCACAGCTTTATTGGTCAGTGACTGCTCAAGAAATAGCTCCAGTGGAACCGATTATATGATTGATAGTGTTTGATTCACTTTTAAGAGAGCAATACTAGCAGTTTCTCCCTTCTTCCAGTCTTTATGCGACTAAGACTAAAGACATCCTGGACTTACTCTGTTGCTACAAGGCTGTAACCTACATGTTCAGTCTGCAATTACAATTTTTTCCTCACCACATATTTAATATTTTTATTTCATCTCTTTTCTTCTCTTCCTCTTCTCCAATACATCTAGGTGTTGAGTGCATCATGGTTTTACCTGAACCAAGGACTCACTGGGATCCTGTCTTCGGTACCTGTATCTTCCTCTTCTCCTTCCTCATCCCCGTTGCTATCATCAGCATCTGCTACAGCCTGATGGTCAAGCGCCTGCGCAACGTTCGCATCTTGTCTGGCTCCAAGGAAAAAGACCGCAACCTGCGGCGCATCACCAGGATGGTCCTGGTGGTGGTGGCAGCATTTGTCGTCTGTTGGACACCTATCCAGATAATGGTCCTGGCTCAGTCTCTGGGCTTCAACCTGACCAGCTTGTTCACAGTGGTCCTGATGCACTTCTGCATCGCGCTGGGCTACGTCAACAGCAGTTTGAATCCTGTCCTCTATGCCTTCCTGGATGAGAACTTCAAGCGCTGCTTCCGGGAGTTCTGCAAACCCTCGCCATTCCGCCTCGACACCCAACAGTCAGGCAGGATGAGGAGCATTGCTAGGGAGGTGGCGGCTGCTTACAGCTGCAAGGCTGATGGCAGGGGGTCAGGAGGAGGGACGCCTAATCCTGCATGACTAGGCGTGGAGCTCCCCTTGGTGGGGGTAGACCCCAAACAGAGGGAAGAGAACCACGGGACAGGGAACTCCAACACAGAATTGACTCAGATTACAGCTCTCTAGCGGCACGAGCCCCCCCGCCCCCCAACTAGAAGACTGGCTTGGGGCGGGGGGGAGGGCGATGAGGAGGATGGGGTTGAAAGGAAAAGAATTTAGGAACGCATAAGGATGGTAAACATATCGTGCTTATAGTATATGGGTGGAGGGAAATGGAATACGTTGAAAGCTTTGGTGGGATGGGTGTGGACATCTAGGAAGGAGATAGTGCCAGATATGGGAGCAGCTCAGACCATTCTGGATCCTGGATCAAGGAATGACTATGGTCCTAATTCCACTGAGGCATTCAGATATTTTGGAAAGTAAGACTTTCATCCAACTATCTTGGTGGACGTAAACACAAAAGAGGTAACACCATTATTTGACACTTCAGCTCCAAAAAAAAGCCTGAGTCTGGTATCTGTTGCTGCATCTCTAGAAAGATGCCTGACTCTGTACTTGGGTATGAGAAGGCAGAGGTTGGGGAGAGTCATTTGTAGAGACCATATTATAGATGTAATAGAGTGGGTGCATATACCAAAAAAAAAGAAAAAACACAATGCCCTACTTGGTGCTTGTAAAAAGAATATACTCAACATTGGAAGCACAGATCTTGGCTATCTGGCGGTAAGGACCACATACTGAAGAAGCCAAGGAAGACTTAGGCTTTCTGGAACTGTGAAATAGAGAATAAACACTTTCATTACAGTTAATTGTATCTTTATCCGTTGATGTTTCAGAATTACCAACTTCCTGTGCTCCACACTCATCCCAGTACGGGGTATATGTTGGTTTCTCTAAAGATGGGTCTAGATAATGGTAATATGCTGCTGTAAGCCCTTATAAGGACTGGGCAATCAAAGTATGATATTATATTTCAGCCTTTAGACATGAAGTTGGATGTAAAACAACAGCTGGCATAAGAAAAAGAACTATGTGCTGCAAACTGCTCTTGAACAATATTTCTCAAACTGTGTGTATGGAATCTGAATGGGTCACATGAATGTTATTTATCATAGGGGCAACTTTTCTCAATGTGTTCTGAAGCAAATCAAGCCCGAGAAACCCTGTCAAACTAGTTTCTGAGAGTTTTTGTTTTTTTAAAACTTACTATGATCACCAGTGAAAAACTGGTGGTATTGTAATCTGAAAAAACAGCAAAAAGTGAACAACAAAATCAGTTTTTGGGACAAGCCCAGCCTGGGTATTAATCCTTCTTCTTGTTCTTGCTACATAAGATGAATGACAGTGCCTCTCTGTGGTGTGTCCACAAATGAAATGTAAATTAGCCAGTCTAAGGGTAGGTACCCAATTTTGCACCTCGGACTTGCGAATTTTTGCCACAAACATCATCTTTCTTATTCTATCTACATGACCTGGGCAAAAAAACGTATTCATAAAAGCTGTTTCAAATATTTGTTTCAAGCAAATCTGAAATGCAGAAGTTGTCAAATAACAATTATGAGATTAGTTGTAATGAATTAGTTCTTCTTAATTGTAATGACATTTGAAAAACAATCCTCATTTTTTTGAAACACGCTTACAAGATGATATTTACAATTGAACCAAACATCTCTTGTGAAACTTTTCAACACAATTTGTTTAAAAATGAATACAACGAAATAGACATTACTCTAAACCTGATAGCTAACTACCTGAGTCATTCACCACACTGCAGTTGGCCAGTTGAGCCAACATTTCCACAGTTAGTTGAAAAGAAAAAAGAAAACATGAATGTTTGCTGGTAATGATGATAAGTAGGGCTGCCTATCATTTATACTTGATATGTTTGGAGTCTGCTTAATAATTCTATCTCTTATTGAATCCTAATTTTTAAATCTTTGTATTTTGTTTGAGCACAAACAGAAACCAACGTAATGTTGCAATCCTTAAGATTTCATTCCTAACAGCAAATGCTGTTTAATACAACAATCCCAGAAGTTTGAGGGCAGCAGAGCAAACTGTTGCTGTTTCAATAAAGAAGTCAGGCAATAATTGATCTTTTCCGTCTTTCTGTGAACAACCATCATTGGATTGTATGCTGCACACGGCATGATTCTGTGAACATCAAAAGTGAAAGTAGTTGGTTACCTCACTTTGCAACCTATTGCCTACATCTAAAAAAATGTTCAAATATATTACTAAGAAGTTTATAAGCATAAAGAAACCAAAGTTTGCTTTCAGGAAAGAGGAATCTTAGGGATATTTTTTTAGGGAAGGTCTGGTTCTTTTAAATTTGTGTATAGTTGGAACCATATGTTGATATCCAGCCCTTGAGATCTATTACGGGCTCAGTTGGTAACTAGCTAACACTGTTCACTGTTCATCTATTTGACAACAGCCATTTAATCTGACCCACTGTAGAAAGGAAATGTCTGATATAACAATGAGAATATCAGATATTTCTCTAAAAACAGTTATGATACAATCTGAAATACCCTGTTGAAATACTATAAGCATGCTTGCAGCTTGCGTTTTAATTTCCCATGACCCCTACATACAGAGGGAATATAATCAGCTTTGAAAATCAAACACATGGGTGTGCGGATTTTTTTCCAAGGTCTGTAGCTGCTGTCAGGTTTGGGAAATCAGAGGTGAAACTGATGGGGTTCCAAGACATGGTTGGGATTGGGAATGTTGGCGGTGAACTCTGGGTTTGAGATATTTTGAGGTGGGGACAATTACATTGGGTGGGGTTGGGAAAGAGTGCTGTGAGATTTTCATTTTGACTCCCAGTACCACAGTGGCAAAGCAGAATATCGGGGTCACAGTGCTTTGACCCCACTTCAAGGGACAAAGGGGCTCTCTCTCTCTTCTTCGTGTCTTAAAGTGGAAATCAACTCCGAAACAGAAACCACATCAGGTATTCTTATGTTCCTGTACAGTTTGGGAAATAATACTGACAGCATTAGACTAGATGCAGTATTCCAACTGTTGGACATCTTCTGGGACACTTGATACTTGAACTGAAAGAAATAGACAGTTGTGAAAAATATGAACCATTATGATGGAATGATGAATATATTATGATTTATGTCTGTTCTTAACTGGAAATGTGTCTCTCACATAAGTCTAACTGTGGCTTTTTCGTAGTTCTATTTGTAGTAGTTTTTATATGAGCCCTATTGTGATGACCAAAAACTACCTACCTACCTTACATTTTTTTACTAAATGGTTGCAAAATGTTAGGAAAAAGTCTTTACACATTTTCCTGTTAATGTTCATTACAAATATAAAATAATCTCACTGTTTGACTTTAACATAAAGATTAAAAAAAAGTTGAAATGTCGGTTGCATTTTCTGATTCATAGCTTAATCTTAACATTTATAAATCAGTTTTGGTTATCGGTCCATAAATAAAATCAGCTACTCATAAACATTGAATGGTTTCACTCCAGAAACTGGTTCTACTTCAATGTCTGAGTCTACTGTATATTTAAGATTATGGCCAATTTTGGTATTCATTTGAATTCTTTGTTTGTTAAAATCAGCGTTTGCTTTGAGGGATTAAACAAATGGAAATTCAATTTCACATTTTTGCAGTTACACACTTTGGATTATACAATGTTTGGCTGCAGCTCTAGTGAGCCAGATAGCGGTTAAACTGCCATGGGGCTTAAGAATTAACATGTGGATTCTGTTTTAGGGTTGGTGTCCCCTTTCATTTTTTCAATTTGTATCTCTTCATATAATTTGCTAATTTCTGATTGGTTCAGATGTCCTTACTTTTAATTTAAAATGTTTGTTTGTTTGTTTCAAAAAAAATTTACATTTTGATGAATTTCACGATAGAAAGATGACACCATTTGCTGTCATGAACGTTTGTGGATTTGCTGTCGATTGTATTGTTTAAGTTATGTGCAAACCAATTTCTTTCCTGCAGTTACTCTTTGCAGCATAAATAAATCCTAAATAATCTTCTTTTGTTTGAGAGGAACCATTCTATGAACTTACATTGCCTTAAATATCAAGTGAAGTCTGCTAACTGAAGCTCGCTCTCTGTCTGGATAAGATGTGTTCTAGTTTTTACTGGTGCTTTGCTGTTAGTTTATACTAGTCCAGAGCTGTATTCATAAAGCTGCTGAAGCCAGAGAAAAATTCAATTTTGACTTTGTATTTCTTAGAATAGCTGTCTTTCGCCATACATTGAGGATGTAACTACTTTATTACTAATTGCTAAAAGATCAGTGTTAAATCTAGTGTCATTGACCCTTTTGGCATTTTAGGAAAGTGTGTTTTTTTTCTGTTTTTCTTCTTCCTTAAACTTTTTACAATAAAACCGCATGCTGTCACTTTGGTTCTTACCTTTGAGTGTGAAGGTAAAGCACACCTAAACAAATTTATCAGATGTCGTTTGTGCTCAATGCGCCGTTCGTTTCAGTATTCTGTGAAACTCCAGAGGGCGTACGAACAGAAATGTACTATGAAGAAGTAAGAAAACAACGAGCGTAACCGGCAGAACGCCATAGACCAACCTCCTCAATGACAAGAATAAAATTGTAATATAAAAAGACAAAATTGCTTTATTATTATATTACATGTTTTCAGTAGTTTAAACATAATCTCCCTGATACATTGTTTTGTATATGGCCACAAAGACAACTTGTGACATTTGGTTCATGGAGAAAGCTAAAAAGAAGTTTGAGTCAACAGTTTAAGCATTGTTCTAAATCAGTGCTCAAGGTGTATTAAACAACAGGTAACCACTGTTCACAAACAAACAAACATTGAAAAAGCTTATATGACTTAAAAACAGCTCCTTTTTACTTTAAGCTACCCTGCCATAAGCATGGTAATAAAACACAACACGTAACACACTCCAAGGTGTTCGGGTATAGAAAATAATGGACCCGGCTTTGCTTCCACATTGTGCCATTTTCTGATTCACCACACATTATCACATACTAAGTGTCTAATAGTGCCTGCAAATCCATAACTTTTGAAACTCAAAAGTGAAGTGAAGTGGGCCATTAGGTATAAAAAATCAGGAGCTGAATCTTTGTTTAAAGAGTTGTTATTTTCAAAATAGTCTGGCTTTGTGAGGCTCATCTTTGCCAAGTAAAGTTTCATAAATTCTCGTAGCTCTACAGTTTTGCCATACCTCTGGTATCCTTGATGATCAAGTCCATCTGTTCTGTTCTTAAGATAGTTTTATGAATACTGGTCGTCTTTTGTACAACCTAGCAGACTTTGTGTAGTAAAAATGTTCAGAGCATCGAGGACACTTGCTTCGACATGATTCACCTTAATCAAGGCGAAGCTATAACGCAGCTGTTAGGCTCTTTGTGCTTAACTGTTTATGTTTAAACTGAAGGCGTTACAATATTTTGTATTACTGTTTGGTGTTTTTTTGTAGCACAAAACTACATAAAAAGGACTCAAAGAGGGCAAAATCCTTCCGTTTAACAACGCAGAGTGAGCATAGTTATACTGTCTGTTAGCTCTGTACAAACATTCTGTTTTAATATTACACTTGTGTAAAAGTATGAAATTAGTTTAACGTCTGACCTCTTTCACTTGTTATTCTTGGTGTATAAATACAAACTATTTCTTGCTAACCGTAATGGTACGTATTGTTACCTCCGTGCATCTGAACGCAGGGAGATTCCTTTCATTTGTTTACATTTTACAGACCACATGAATGTCAAATGAAAAAACTGTTGAAAATCCAAATCGAGGAAAAAAAAACATACAATGTTGATGTTGTTATTACTATTATTGCTATCAAAAGAGAAAAACAGTGTCGCCTTGTGTTTTTTGCTGTGCGGGAAACTGTCCAGTATGTATCTATGTATTACTTGTGGACTGCATTTTGCTCACTGCCTGAGTTATGAAGTGAAACAGTTCTTAGGGCTCAAAAATGAGAGACATTTTTGCTGTTGTTGCTGTCAAGGCCCCACTCCTTACCTATTTTCAACCACAAATCCGCTGACACAATTTGGCTTTGATCACAAAAGTTGGAAGTCCTCTCTACGGTTCTTATCTCATGTTGGGGTCGGGACTACGTCAGAGCATCAGCTGAATGCTGAAATGTGATATCATTATGTTGATTTAAATATTGGCTAATGCTATCCGGTCACAATTTGCTATTAGTGGGATTTGAGTATCGGTTGTAATTGGTTGGAGTCAGGTGACAGAGCTGTTTATATCACATCACTCTGGCTGTAGCTACATAAACGTAATGTTCCTGTTCTGCAGATGGCAGACTGAACTACCATGCTAGCTGGCTTGTCGTTAAAGCATAGACTTTTTGCTGAAGCTTGAATTTTAAATTGTATATTTTTCTCTGCATATGAAATTAATAAATAAATTATGGCCATGTATGACTCATTGTTATTCTTTAAATTTGTTGACTCATTTGGTACAAATCACAATCAATGCTTTGAATAATGACGTAGTTATATTTTGTATAGTTTCTGTTGTAGATTTTCTTGTTAGAAACACTACACTGATCATTTAAATCCTATATTTTTACAAGCTTTATTTACGTATATAAATTATGTTGAAGAAGAAAAAAGCTTAATTAAGAATTAATAAGAGATCATATGTGTTAAGAGCTTGATTGACCAGATTTTGCCACAAACCCAAACTAGTTTGCTTCCTCACTCTCTAAATAGTTAAGTTAATCAACTTCCTAATGTGCAGGTTCAGTGGAAGATGCTTGTATTAATCCACAGATTCACTAAATATTCACATTGCCTGACAATATACATTCTGGAGATAGAATGAAAAGAGATGATACATTCCATATATTATCTAATGCATGCATTTCCTTTTTTTATTTTCTGGAGGGCACCACCTGCTAATAAAGAATGTTCAGAAATATTTTCTGCCATTGGCTGAAACAGTTTCTGTTACTCAGAAGGAGGATGGTACCATTATGGCATATAACCAACTCTGGACAGGGGGATTTGACCTACCATATATCTAAATAAATGAAGCCAGCCCAGCTAACAGCCAAATGTGTTGGCATTGTACATTTCTGCAAACCACGGATACGTTGAATTTGGAGGTTTTGTTATTCTTTTATGTGGTATTTTTGCATTTGGGAAGAGCAGGTGACGTGTTACAGTTAGCAACACGCAGAGAAAATGATGTTGAGCTGCCGTTATGGAAAGTTATAATGTAAATATAAAGAGCAGAAAAGTCCACTAAGGGAGGATAGAAGTGGTGGAGGATGGATGAAACAGATACAGGACTTTCACCAAGGAGACCACTGTGAAGAAAAAGTAAACGCTGACTTTACACTTGTTATGCAACGTTGTGAAGCTTGTTACGTAATGTTATGTAAGAAAGTCCTCTGTGATCAGTTGTTATTTATTTACGTTTGGTGTGCATTGCATCCCGTGGTTTGAAGAAACATACAACGCCAACTTTTTTTGAGCACATCTTGCAGAGCAATACAGCAGGCAATCATGTTAGAATCTTTCATGTAATTTGTGGCATTGACTGCGTGAAAGAGACATTTGTTCCCTGCCTTTAGCCTTTAAGGTATTGCCGCCTCCCAGGCAATATAATTACCTCCATAAAATAGCACCAAGCCTCAGGACAAACTCAGTGATCCGTTCTCTTTTTGTCATCCCGTGATCCAGGAGCTACATAGCGGATGTGAGTAAATGAATGAATATAAATAATAGACTAGTACATGGCTAACTGACCATGCACACAAGATTACTATTATAAAATAAACAGACCAGGACACATTATTACATTTTGTCAACAAAAATAAACTGTCTCACAACAATAACAGTGAGGACACTTAGGGGCAAGAGGGAGAAATATCTCCAGAAGAAGAATATGAAAAATAAGAGAGTGAACAACCAGTTGACCTTTTAAAATCGTTTTTCAGAGCTGCTGCTCACAGGTTTCAAAGTAGTTCTGAGAGGAAAAGGTAAAACCAATTTCCCAATGTCGCCCTTTCAGCACGGAGGGTCATCCGTTTTCGGCCTTTAGATATTTCCTGTATTTGAGGCACATGGATACTATAGATGGCTGCTTCTTGTGTATTGAGTTTCTTATGTGGATTCTTTTTGACTAGCAGTCTAAAAAGGGCACTGTCAATTGGTTGCTTTGTCGATCTACCAGACACTGGTTAAACATTACAAGATCAACAAAAGATTTGTAAAAGATATTTATGGTTCCCAGAGAGAGACAAATACTAATTATAATTGTGATCCCTGTCGTTTGACACAGCACCATGTCAGGTTAAATCCTCATCTTGGCAAACGCTTTGGTCCTTTACAATACCCTGATGAAATTGGTCAGGTTTGCACTACATTTACTTTGGATCCTGATGCTCCCCACAAGGTGATAGTGAGGAGATCTTTCCTCTAACATCAGCATTAGGACACATTTTCCATGTAGTACTTGAGAAATATCAAACCCGAATGGGCAGTTTGCTATGAAATTTCCCATCATCGGACATGCCCCAGAGCTCTTATCTTGCAGTCTGGTTACAGATTGTAACCAAGACTTTATTAGACCTATTTTGCACATTGTGTCATGCATTGAACTGGTTTGTATTGTGTGTTTCTGCAAGCATGATTCAAAGCTGATATGAAACGTATTCATGAAATATATTTTAGTTCAGAAACATTAACATTCTTAAGGTAGCGTAAAGCCAAGTCAATTGTAAAGTCAAACAAAGTCAAATCAGGTAAATTGCATTTACATAGGCCACAATTACAAAACCAGCGTGGGTTCAGCACCACGGATAGCATCTGTGATATACTGTATGGAAAGCAAGTTCCGAGGGGCGATTATAAACTTCAGGCCATTAACTGTCGCAACTTTTGCTTTAACCTCAGACATATCTATTTCCACCTTTAGAAATATTGCAGATAATCTATTTGCGAGCAAAGTATTAACATCATATTTTGTCTACCTATGAATAACACAAGTGAACTACAGAGGGTGAAGCAACCGTATTAACAAACAGTGAGCAGGGCTGTTCATAGACAGCAAAAGCAACTCTCTGTTCTCCACATGTGATCTATTATATCTGGGTCCTCTTTCTGATACAGTCATTCAGTCACCACAGCAGGAGGCTGACTCTGTGGCCGGGAGATCTTTTCACAGCCACAGTGTGACAGCAACATATAGTATCAAGGAACAGTTTGCCATTATACTGTATCTTTATGACAGCACAGTGATAAGCCTTTATAACTACATGTTTGCACTACAGTAACGTTGTTTTGCCTCAGCAGGAGTGGTGCTTTCACTGTCTTTGTGCATGCTGGCTTCCACAGAGCAAACAAAAAAAGATTGTACACGTATCACTGCCTACGTCACACGATCTTGGCTCTGTTTGAGAACGGTAATGATAAAGCCAAGTTGACGCCATGACACAATTACAGCAATACAATTACACTGAAATCATTTCCAGGCAGCAGAGGAGGACGGTCACTCATTCATCAATCCCTGCACAGGCATACACAAATGTTATCATCACCATCATGGACACACACAAACCTTTAAATTAAAACTGGAATCCCTAACAGAGTTTTGCATGGCTGCAACTAATGCAAACACTTAATCTGACTCACATGCAGTCACAAACAGCTGCATATGTATTTGTAACTAATTAGTAACCATGCAATTAGCTGATCTAGAAATAGAACCAGCTATGACTAATGAGCAATGATTAGTGGCAGAAGGGTGAAGAGATAGAATTAATGATGGAAGACAAAATGGGAGGAGGCAGAGAGACAGACGCTGGGGACGACTGTGTTGTCTCAATGTAACTATTGTTTTATTAAAATAGCATTTGTTCAGGGAATTTTTTTTGCCATATTAACAGAATAGCCTCGAGCAGAACAGCCATTAGCAAAAAAACTAAAACAAAAACGTCTATTGTTTAACAGTAAGTTTAATTATAATATACTGCATCGAACTCAATGAGCTGCACCTGTGCTGTGCTGGTGTGGCTCTCCCCTTAAAGGCCTTCTTCATTTGGCAGCCTGGCTCTCTGGGAGAGGAGATCCTTTCAGCCACCAGCATTACACTCTTCTTTTGGGTTTCTATTCTATTTATCGCTATGCACTGCCACACACATCCATACAACTGATACCTACCGTTTGTATTGTTTCATTTGTTTGTGGGAAAATAAAATGCTTTTCTTAGCAGCCAGCTCGCTTGTCTGCCTGTTTTGTGGCAGTCTGTGAGCCGGGCTGTGACATGATTAACCAGATGTCAAGCCTGTATTACGTTGCCTGCGGGCTCACATGAGTGACCCATTTATAAAAACGTTTCTTCATGGTCAGAAATTCCTCTACCTTTAACACCAATAATAATTGATTAAACAATTTGATGATTTTTAGGCATGAGGATGATAATGGAGGTCTGTCTGTCCAAATATTTGGTCCAAAAGTGTCTCTGGTCAAAATCGCCACTTGTCATGAATTCAATCCTGAAGCATAGCATTCATATGTATTACTTCTGGAGAGCACTGAAGACATGTTTGCATAAGCAGATCGGTATCACTAGTCCAGTCATATTTATACAGGTGTACAGGGAGGGCTTTATACCCTGTGCCTTTTCTCTTCTGAGCTTTCATGCTGCCAATAAAGGCATCAACCAACCACCCTGAGTGCAACTGACCTATTCAAAATGTACACAATAGTGTTCAACTATACGAAGGCTCCATAGTCCGAACGGTAAATTTTATTACTTCTTTCAACACTGAAGAAGGCAACGCTACCGGAGCCACTCTTTCCATTCTGACCTTTCACAATAAGAGCCTGAGACATACACTGCTTAACTCTTTACGAGGGGCAGTGCAACTCACATAGTTGCCATAATAAACAGTTTTGATGCTAAATATTCGTAGGCGATAATTTTGCATTGGTCACGACCACGGTGTGTAAATTATTTTTCTCTGCTGATACTCTCGGGCCAACTCTGTTTGCTGCCTCAGCTTTTGCAATTTTTAGCACATACTTTTATCCATTGTTAATATATCCCTGAATTCAATATAAAATACTGTTCATGTGTTTTAATATGATTCGATATGATGTGATTTCATATGATGGGGCAAATTCTTGTTGCAGGCAGATCAAATTCTTTCAGAGCAGAGCAGAGCCTTTTCTGACAAATCTAATTGAAAAACTGTTTCCTCGAAATGGATGAATTCCTTGATGTGTCTTTTTGAATTCCTGTCGTACTCAGATTAATGCTAAGATTGTGTGTTAACTGTCCTTGCATGATGGTTCTAGCAGCAAAACCTACACATGACTCCCAGTGTGTCATTCTAAAATGGCTGTGCAGGACTTTATTCCCTTTGCATCCCCTTCCTACAGGTAAAGACTTTCTTTGTCAAGC